GAGAACTAACTTCAATTAAAGGTGCATTTTTCATCATAATGACAAATAATATACAAAGAAAAAACTAAATACATAAGAGATGACTACACTTTTTTTTTCTTATGTTAGTCCTGTATCATAATGATTACATACATAAAGTATATAATTTTTTCTGCTTTACTTAACAAAAGCTCACTACACAAATCTTGAGAGAATTAAGTCTGGTGATTTTTAAATATTTTTTTTTTTTTTTACTTGCACTTACCGCAGGTGCCAAGACTTATAAAGCCGGCTAATTAAAAGCAAAAAAAAAAAAAAGACAAAACTTTCATTATCTTGGAGACATTCCTGGAGAACATGGGGGGGGGGGGGGAGCAAGTCATCAACAAACAAGGAATTAAAAGTCATATTATACATCTGGGTAAGGTAGAGATGCATTTCTAGTTATATACACATTTCAATCCTTAATGGTGAGGGGGAGGGCTAACAGGTAGTGCAACTGGTCAGCTAAGATGACATTACTGTGATAAACTGTACAAGATATATATATATATACATAGTGTATGTATACTAGATTATACAATTGTGTATGCATGTGCATGTGCATGCATGTGCGTACACTTACAAACACTTACACACATACACATACACACACACATATACACACACACACATACGCACACGCACACGCACACGCACACGCACACGCACTCACACTCACATTCACACTCACATTCACTCACACACACACTCGTGCGCGTGCATAAGAAAAAGAAAGGAATGTATGTATGCAACATATATGTATATATATGTGCATGTGTATCTATGTACATTCATTTATGTATGTCCATATACAAATACACGCATTTAATCCTACATTCATCAATGTCATCCTCTTTTTCATTCTCTTTCTCTCACTCGCACTTTTAATCTGACTCTCACTCTCTCACTCACTCTCTCACTCTCACTCTCACTCTCACTCTCACTCTCACTCTCACTCTCTCTCACTCTCACTCTCACTCACTCTCACTCTCACTCTCATTCTCACTCTCTCTCACTCTCCACTCTCTCACTCTCACTCTCACTCTCACTCTCACTCCTTCTCTTTCTCAACCTTCTCTTTCTCAACCTTCTCCTTCTCTTTCTCATTCTCATCTTTCTCATTCTCATCTTTCTCATTCTCACTCCTATTCATATTCTCATTTTCATTCTCTAACTCTGACTCCCATTCTTATTCTCACTCTCACTTTCACTCTCATTCTCACTCTCACTCTCTCTCACTCCTCTCTTTCTCAACCTTCTCCTTCTCTCTCTCTCTCTCTCATTCTCATTCTTTCTCTCACTCTCATTTTCATTTTCATTCCCATCATTTTCACTCACTCTTATTTTCATTTTCAGTTTCATCATTCTCACTCACACTTACACTTACACATATTTCAAAACTTATTCTTATTATCATTCTCTCCTTTCCTCTCTTTCTCTCTCACATTTACTAATTCAAATACATACCCACATTCAACTTACACACTCAAATTCACCTTCATGCTCACTCTCACATGTCCATACCCAGCCATATATACAAACATACAAATATATACATACATACACACTCACATGCATGCATGCACATATACGCACACATGCATCACACGCATGCATGCACACACACACGCACACACACAGCACACACACACACACACGCACACACACACACGCACACACGCACACGCACACGCACACGCACAACACACACAACACACACACACACACACACACACACACACACACACACACACACACACACACACACACACACACACACACACACACACACACACACACACATATGCATGTAGGAACATGCTGGCACACATGTGCAAACACACATACAAAAACACATGCATACTAGTGCTCTTACATACTCACATCAGCATATGCACACATGCCAACATCCAGACACATGCGCAGACACACGTATTTGCACACACTTGCATGCACTCACACCTGCACGCACACATACGTATATTCACATGCATACATACCTACACACACAGGAATACACACATAGGCACACAGGCACACACAAACAGGTACACACATACATCCCCACACATCACACACACCCACGCACACAACCCATACACTCAATAAATCAAACACATTCATTCTCGGACCTTTTTTTTTTTTTTTTACATATCCCATCTTGTCTAATTCTCAAAAAAGTTAATGAAAAAAATATTAAACTTCCCTGAACAATGTTCCTTTAACTTCTTTAATCTATATAACTTGAATATCTACAAAATCACAGTCCATTACTTGTAAAATATCACATGAAATTACAGTTAAAACCTTAAACACCTAAAAAATCATATTCTTTTTAAAAATTGGAGTATTTTCAGGTAAAATAATTCTCACTACATGCAAAATAATGCTAAGTACTAGGTGTTTCCGAGATGGAGCATTCATTAACTTAATGGTGAAATATAAATGGATTGTGCTTTTTACTCCCAAACAGGTTAGATTGTGATATTACTTATAAGTGTTCTTGGAGACCATGTTGTATAAATAGGATGAATATCTGTATGTATAAAGGAATGCCAACTGATAATGACTGCATACAGGTCATGTGTAAGAGAATGTACATATGCACATACGTTTGTGTATGCATACACACATACATATGTCGGTATGCTTGTATTTGAATCTGTATGTGTGCACTTGTGTGCATCTGTACTTTAAAGTGTCTATGATATGAACAGTGACCAGCATCCATATAAAAGCTTATGCACTCATATTTAAAACATTATACTTTACCATAAGGATTGAAATGGTGTACAACACCAATGAATTCAACCATTGGAATGGGTATGTCACTAACAAACAAACCTGTCCACAAGGTATAAAAATTGCAAGGAGGGGGCATGGGATCTACACATTTGTGTATCCAACATTCCATGATAAATAAATGCCTTGGAAACAACCAGGGCATAGCAATACACACTCTCAAATTCAATGGTGCTCTGGGAACATGCCAATATTCAAGAGAATGATTAAGCTAGACAATTCAATGATAACACTGCACAGGAAAATAAGGTTGTTTCTGGCAGTCTCTTGACCTTTAGCTGTAACATACTTTTTTCCATATTTTAGTTGTATGACTTCAAATCTATTATTATTCCCAACTATTAAAAATCAATAAGAAAGAAGGTTAAATTAACCTGATGTCGCCGGGGATGGCATGTACAGACATGCCATGCTTACCGTGAGTTTAATTTATTAATTGTCTTTGCACATTCACAGTTCTACAAGCACTTGGTCACTTGTGAGGCTATTACTAGAACTACCCATCTCACCTGTTTACCCTTTTCCATATTTGGAAATAATTTCTTTTATCTTATATTGCTATTAGTATTACTGATAACATTACAATATTCATAATATCTATAATACTAAAAACAGCATCAACATTAACCCGTTGGATCCAGTTGCATTATGGAAATAGGAGTGCCAAAAATACAGGCAGTGGGTTACATAAGTAGCTAACATCCCAGCCATGAGTGGTGAGAAGACTCTGTGCCTCCTCTTTGCAATGTTATTTTGTGTCAACTTTTTTAGCTTTATTGCTATTTTTCAATGTTGATATTTGTCTTTTGAGTTGCTTTACCCAGATGGTAATGGCTTATTTTCCTTACACAGACTCCATATCATCTCTCTATGTAGTAAATAACTCATTGCAAGGGACAAAAATGGAACATTTTGTTATCTGTGTCATATACCTCATTTTACCCTAAATTTCAATTTTATGTAATAAAACCTGTGCCGCTGGTCCCAGCAGCCAAGAGTACAGTGCGCAGCATGGAAATGGCGTCCTCCATGGAGAAGGCGCTCTTCCAGTCACAGCTTACGCATGATACATCCACATTAGTTTATCATTGGGAATAATGCTAAAGCCCCCTTCTAAGTGCCAAATCAGTCAAATCAGACTACAAGAGGTTTGTGCACTCGTGGCGAGTCTTTTCTATCACCCTAGCCTTTGCTTGTGATGGAAAGTTTGAATTACCTGGCCCACAGCCATTTTTCCCGTCACCCAGCCCTCAACCAAGATTTTTCCACGGTTAATAGCATTAATCAAAATAAACAAATAAATAAATATATATATAAATAAAAAAATAAAACTCAAGGAAAAGTGAAATCAGGTGGTCACAAGGTCGACTGACTGATAACTTGTTGGCTAAGCACTTGTGGAGCCATCTATGTGTAGAGACATTTCACAAAAAAAAACGACAGTGAACACACATTTCCCCCAGCATCAAGAGGTTAAATAATGGTCAATAATATTAACATATCTGTAATTTAGAGCACGACCACCTTTTTTTTTATATATATATTTTCTTTAAAGTGCCTTACCATTCAACCATCCACTTGTCAGTAAATGTACAACAATTGAATATACTTCTCTGATGATGTTTAACCTATGTATACTTTGGTATAAGTATTGGTGATTTTCACTTTCAAATTAGAAATTAATTCTCAAAGTTTATATGGATAAGCATCATACTTCTTCGTCCTTCAGACCCCATGTTTATGTTTATCTCAGATTGAAAAAAATTGAAAGTAAAATACTTCTCTATTAAAAGTGTAGAACCATTTATAGTTCAATAATCATTTTTGTACATCAACTATACACAAGAAAAGAAGGGCCACATAACTAATACTCTATATCTTGCTTAAATAAACAATCTATCAAACAGAAAATAAAATATCAAATATCAGAAAAGTATAAAATATATCTTGTATATAGAAATATTCAATAAACACTGAAATAATAAAAACGAGGTGCATAAATCACTAGAAAATAAGAAAGGAGGACTCGGACACTTACACAATTTAAATGCAAAAGCACTGATACTAATATGATGAACAAGAGTAAAATGCACCCTCATTAGCTCACAGTTTGAGTGGGAACAAACAAAAGTTATAATGAGCCTAGCAAACTGTCAGTAACCTTTAAGCACACTTACTTTTGAGTGTTTTCGATGGCTGCGAGTATCCTTGAGTTGTCAATGTTAATCTTCTGCTTCGGTGTCTTTCTTTGGTCATCATGCCCTGCAATAATGGAGTAAATAAAATAACTGGTGGCCACATGCTCCTATATGTATGCAATACATATACAATATAAATAAATATGCAAAGTATATAAACATAAACAACTAAATAGATGTGCATATTTACTCATACATAAAAAAACATAAAGCAAACCCTTGCTTTACATTAGAATCCCATCCAAAATCAACACAGTTGTGTGAAATCTACATACATATTACTGTAGTAAATATGTAAACAATGTATGTATAAAATCAATGCCTTCAATCCGGGTGACGTGACCATTACACCATGAAAAAATTTGGCTTGAGGGCCTGGTGGTATGAACATGCAATCAAAAGAAAAAATGGCCACAGGCCAGGTGACACAACTTGCCATCATGAGCGAAGGCCAGGATGACAGAAAAGACCCGCCATGAATGCACAAAGCACTTAGAGAGTGATCGGACTAATTTGGCATTTAGACATTTGGCATTTGTTATTTAATACACAGGGAGATGATATGGAATCTGGATAAAGCAAATCAGAAGACAAATATGGACTTCAGAAAATGGCAAAAAAGCTGAAAACATTTATGCAAAAGAGGGACTTTTGTCACCGCACACAAGTGTTCGCATGCTCCCAGCCTACACACCGCACATCCGGCAGAACAGCCGCTTACCTAAGCCAATTCCCATACTTTCCTCCATGTGATGGCCATAACGCAATCGTATTCAAGGGACTAATAAATGAAATACTGAAGTTCTTGATTTACATTATTTCCTTTTATTATACTTTTACTAAATTTTTGTTTATGTTTTGATCTGTAGGTTTGTTGATAAAAAAAATCTGAGATATTCATATTGCAGAAAACAAATCAGCATGAAAAGACGGTTTACTGTATAAACAAATGAATGCATCCTTATAACTACCCATCATGCACACCCATAAACACATGCAACAAAATTCATGCTACACATAATCAATGATACGTTGCCAGCAACACAAGGCACCCCTCATTGCTCTTACCTTTCCGCTTTGTGTACTTGATAGCCGCACCATGGAATGCACTGACGGCGCGGAAGAATGCCCTAAGGATCGACCACCTGAACACGGCAACCGGATCAGCCCCTGCCACCTCTCGCACGATGCTATATTGACTGTTTTTGAGCACACTAATCAGTTCTGGCCGCATCAGGTCCAAGTTCTTCTCCCTAAAATCACTCACCTGTGATGGAAGGTAGAGCGAAGGCATGGGAATTTGATTAACTTTAATACAAACATCAAAGATATTAAATTTCATAATCTTGAAAAATTTCTGATGAAGATATTCATACAGATTTGGGGACAACTATGATGCCAGCAACAATTCTTTTAAGCATAAGATTTGAAAATTATCAGTCCTGCATTACGTCTCATTCCATCATAAAATCTATAAAGTTCTTATTCTAAAACACTTAAAAATAACATACCTGATATTTCACTTTACCAGCATAATGCTTTATAATAAATGCTAACTCCCTCTTCTGAGGAATTTCGTAATACTTGTTGTCTTTGTGGACCGTGTTGATCTTTTGTAGGAATGTTTCATTGGTCGCAGCGGGGAAACTGAATGGCAGAAAAAGCAACATTTATGACATCTGAACTTTCCATGACACAGCACATAAATTGCTACATAGCACATAAATTGCATACACTAACATTTGCTCCTTTAGCATTTCATCATTCTTTCATTATCATCATGAAAACTGTTAAGTCTATTTGTCGTCTTATTGCATATTCGTTATATTCATATTGAAACGTTCAATAATAAATTTTTTTTTCTGATGCCATAAAATCCTGATCAAAACTATTATTTAAACTAAGATAAATATTACTATAAGGACAACACTAACTTTTATCAACATAAAACAAAAGGTAATTTGAATCCTCATCATATATCACAAAAAAGTTATCCTTCTGAACTTGCTGTTGCTGAAATTCTTAAGGAAAAAAAGGAATAAAGAATTACAGTGTTCTAACATAGCTTTAAGAGCTCAAAATAAGATGGCTTAAACAAATATACAAAATTCCATGTACCTGCACTGGTCATCCAAAATACAAAGAAGACCAGAAGGTTTCCCCTCAATGAGTGCCAGACAGTCTACATTGTCCTGAAACTCAATGTTGGTCCAAGAAATTCCTTCACGCCGATACTCCTCCTGCTCGTACTCAAAGACATGCTGGTTGAAGTAGTGCTGGAGATGCTCATTGGCAAAATTAATGCAGAACTGCTCAAACCTGATGAATAAAACGGGTGATTTATTACAATATGAAATCCCCCTTCACAAACATATAGTTTAAATCTCTCATATAAAAAGTGTAAATACAAAATTCACTCATGATGGTCTATAAAAGCATTCCAAAGTACCTGTTGCAATGGCCAAAATCCTCAAACCCAAAAATGTCAAGGACACCGATGGAATTTCCTCCATATTCACTTGCTGATTCTTTGAGTGTAATGAGAGAGTAATTCACCTGCAGAACAATCCAGTCAAATAATGCCCCATATAGACACTTTGCTAAGGCATCCCGTGCAGCCATAGCCTGTAGGGATAAAATTGGAATCATTAATGAATACATACAGAATTGTGAGAAAGTTTTACAACAGTATTCCTGTCTACAATGTATTTTTTCATTAATACATTCACCAAAACTTCCAATACTTCACGTACACAACACCATTCTCAAGGAAAGGTAGCTGTCAAAAAAACTATTCCAGACACAAATTCTGTCTACCTACCACATTCCATACATATACATATTTACCTCACATCACTTACAAACCAAACAAGGTACTGATCGACTTGAAATATACACAAGAAAACCAAACCACACCATATTACACCATACTATATTCTTAGCACCATTCAAAACACCAATTCCTTACTTCTGCCAGGCGATAGTGCATGACTAGAACCTCTCCTTGGACCCGTGCTTTCTTGGAAGTGAGCGCGTTCATGAGAGTATCCTCAGATACCCCAAGGAGACTTGAGATCGTGCTCACCAATTCCGGGTTCCTCACCAGCACTGACTCATCGTGGTGGTAAGTGGATTTCTTTGGCTGGAATTCTATGTTACCTGTCGCAAAGAGATAGGAAAAATGTTGGAGCCACAGGGATTTTTGTATATATAATGGGGAGGAGGGTCATTAGAGTCACCACTTTGGTCTCTTTCGTCTTGTTTCGCGAATCTTGATATGTGACCCAGAATTACCTAGAACAAATGCTGTATTTTTCAGTTACCCTTACCTATACAAGCTGTATGACTCAGGTTGAAACCTCAAACTTGGTATTTCAAAAACTGTTTTCTCATTCCTTTTATCATCATTATCACTATCACTATCATTATCACTATCACTATTACTATCATAACTATTGCTATTACTGTTATCATCATTATTATTATCATCACTATTATCATCACTATGATTATCATTATGATGATTACAAATGTAATCATAACCATAATCATAATTGTAATTATCATTATCATTGTAATTATAATGATGATGATGATGATATAATAATAATAATAACAAAACAGTAACAATAACAATAACAATAACAACAACCACAACCATAACCATAACCATAACAATAACAATGTTTATGGTAACGGTAACTGTGATGGTAACTGTAACGGTAACTGTAACAGTAACGGTAATAAAAATAATAATAATGACAATAACAATAACAATGACTATCATAATTATCATCATCAATTTTTTTATGATAATCTTTTTAGTAACAATTATCATCATGATCATCAAATTAGTAAAAATAAGAACTACTAAAACAGTTCTTGACAGCAGAAAGTAAAAGCTGTCAAAAGCAGGTAGCTATAATAGTAAATCATAGACTCATAATATAATGATAATGATAATGATAATAATAATAATGACAATAACAATGACAATAATAATGATTATCATAATCAAAATCATCAATCTTGTTATGATTATCCTTTTAGTAACAATTATTATCATGAGTATCAAATTAATAAAAATAAGAGCAACTACTAAAACAGTTCTTGACAGCAGAAAGTAAAAGCTGGTAGCTATAATAGTAAATCCTAGACTCATTTTTAATTCCTCCTTACATGTTAAATTGATATACTTTAATGATTAATGTCGTTAAATGTAAGGCAGTATTAACTGAAGTAGAGAAACACAATTTAACTTAAATCATACAATCTCTAATCTCTTCTGAACTGAAAAAAAAAAACTTTGGTCAGTTCCCCAAAACTCAACCCTTTCCTCCTATGATCTGGATGATGTGACCATCAAGTCATGAAAAAATGTCACTTGAGGGCCGGTTGGTATGAACATGATATCATGGGAAAATCTAGTTGAGGGCTGGGGTAATGGGAATGATTTGCAACAAGTGCATAAAGTTCTTGGAGGGTGATTAGACGCTGTGGGTATTTAGGAAGGGCTACTTGTATGATTTCCATCTTGTATGAATGAGGGTGGAATGTGCCATCCGTGAGCCATTACTGGAAGCACCAACACCAGGGTGGGCATTATTTCAATGCTTAGGATCCTATTCCTATCCACCATGACTGGCATGCAGGTTGTATTACAGAAAATTGAATATCATAAAAAAGATATCCAAAAAAATAATACAAGAAAAAAAAAATTAATTGCTGTAATCATCATTCCACTGAGTTATGGATTACTTAGAGAGCTGACATGGAGTTTAAGCAAGGAAAACAATCCTTTACCATCTGGATAAAGCAAATCAAATTAAATACAGACATTAAATATATAGCAAAAAAGCTAAAACATGCTTATGGAGAAAAAGAGAAAATAACATTGCAAAGGGGAAACATTGGGAACCAAGAGGTTAAGCACAGGATATAACATGGAGAGAAATTACATCTACAAATATAAAGAAAGG